CACAATTAACGGCACCCTTTTATTCAATGCTTTTTGAAACCTCCATTTGGCATAATAACAGCTCTGAGTTTTCTCCTATAATGCCTGATGAGGTTAGAGAGCACCTGACAAGAGATCAGAGACCATTCCTTCATCCAGAATCACTCCAGACCCTTCAGATTCACAGCTTCATGATGGTGCTTCTCCTCTTCAGTTCACCGCACTCATCTTCTATAGACCAATTACTGGTTTGTAAACATTCAGAATGCGCGCGCATCATGGTTGCAGAAAACCTGGGAGAGATAGCCTTTACAGCTAGAGAATTTCACGGATAGGGTACAAAATAGTTAGGTTTAAAAAAATTATAAATTATATTGATTAGATGTCATTTTCAAAATGTTCTCCGCATATTACAAGAGCTTGTCACCCAGCGATAAACACTGTTATTCAACAAAATTGACGTTAGAGAGTGGGATAGTCTTACAGATCCGAAACAGGGATGACGGTTAGTCAGTCACTTATTGATTTTTTTATCTGTTGGTATTTGATAGAATCCATGATGCCATGTATCTAAACAAGATGTCCAGGACCTCCAGCAGAAATATAGAATTTTTAGAATTTTAGAAATTTTATAATTTTTCTTGAAACCCTCCCAAACAACAAGTGGCGATGTAGGTGCTGTTTGACAAATTTTTTAAAGGTTTTCTGACCCTGAAACTCAACTATTTTCTGCAATTCTCCAGCTGTGGTCCTTGGAGAGTGTTTAGCCACTCAAACTCTCCTCCTCATCGTGCATTGGGACGATATAGACACAGGTCCTCTTCCAGGCAGATTCATAACATTTTCTGTTGATTGGAAATTCTTAATTATTGCCCTGATGGTGGAAATGGGAATTTTCACTGCTCTAGCTCTTTTCTTAAAGCCACTTCACTAATTTGTGAAGCTCAATTATCTTTTGCTGCACATCAGAAATATATTCTTTGGTTTTTCTCATTGTGATGGGTGATTAATTTGGAATTTGGCCTTTATTTTCCGTTTTATATTTCTGTGAAACAGAAAGCCATGGCTGGATAATTTCATGTTCATAATCACCCTGGAGTGCTCAAAATTGTAAATATGAATGGGAATATACTTCACAGATATTTTACTCATAAGAATTTCTAGGGGTGCCAATAATTGTGTCCAACGTGTATTTGAGAAAAACATTTATTTCATAATGATATTTCCCCCCATTTTAAATTCTTATTCTCCGCATCTTTTTTATGACTGAAGGCCAGTATCAATGATACCAATACTGATTTCTCTATAAAATTGGCTGCGGTGCGGCCAACTGAAAGCGCTGCTTCTCTGCTGCTCACTGCACAGAACAGATGCCGAGAGAGGCGACACTTCTCCGCAGGCCCGGATTGGTTAATCGGGAGTACCGGGAGGATTCCCGGTGGGCCGGCCTGTTTTTTGGCCGCGAGGGCCGGTGTGTTGTCATGCTACTGGGTTGAAATATGCTGCCTGCACTCACAGCAGCCCTACTCTTTTTATTTATTATTTTCTCGCAGCCCATATTATTATTTTCACCAGTCCACGTTATGCTTTCAAATTCCATTCCATTTGTAATTTCACAGTATTTTCACCTCCTAAATCACTACCCTTGTAAAGTCACAATTCTATAATGGTAAAATTTACTCAGCACACACACACTTCATAATTTAGCAAAATCATTCAAAACTCACGACTGACCAAACAAACTAATTATTTTTGTATTATTTATATGAATTATATTATTAATTCTAATTAAATTAAATTATGTAATTATAATTTATAATGTATAAATTATTAATTTTTTATTATTTATTATTTAAATAATTCATGCATCA